GACGTGCTAAAATCCTTCGACTCCTGTTCAGTCCTTCGAAGGAGAGTTAAGTGGGAAGGATCCAACGGATCTCGCCCCACCACCAACCCATAACATGTAAAACTAGGGTTGCCAGGTGTCCACTATCTGAGCGGACGGTCCACTTTTTTCACATTATGTTCACTATTTTTTTTCACAAAATAGTGGACATTTTTTTTTTATTCAAAAGCTTTACGATGAAATGGTACGTAATCTAAAGCTGTACAGTCTACTTTTTTTACTACTTAACCCCCCCCCCCCGCTTGTCCGCTATTTTTTGGAAGCAGACCTGGCAACCCTACGTAAAACCCGGGGGGCAAAACGGTTTGACCTCCAGGCGCCTTCAGAGAGTGATTAACGAAGAGCGGGAGGCGATATTAAGAACCAAAACACAGAGCGAGCCATCCCTGCCGGGACAAGCAAGAGCAGCGGAAAGAAAAACCAGGCTGCCTCTCCAGGGACAGCCATCCGGGAGATGCCCAGTCCCAGGAGGCGATGAGGCGGAGCCGGGCAGAGACCTTCCCGGGAGGCTCCTCCTCTTCACGGAAGGTGGTGGAAGGATTCAAACCCCAGCCCCACGCGGGTCTCGCCGCCGCCCTCCACGGAGGAACGGCTAGCCCGACCGGTGTCCCTCGAGGGGAGGAAAATGGCGTTAAGCCGCCGGGGGCGTCCTCCTCCGCGACGGACGACAGGCGCTGACGGACGGACGGAAGGGGGGGGGGACCGAGAAGACTAGGCGGCCGGAAAGGACACTTTCCCTCGCTCTACCTGCGCGTCGCCTCACCTTTAAAGACTGGGCTCCGGGCGTGGCTGGGTCGCTGTCGCACACCCGCGGGGACAGCACCGCCGCCATCGCCGGCCACGGATGGGGCTGGGCTAGAGACCGCTTCGCCGCCCTCTCCCCTCCCACGCACCCCACCCCACCCGCCACCGCTTCAGGCCCGGCGCCACCTGCAGGCTCGGGGATGGCAATGCAGGCGCCGAATCGCTTTTTCTTCGCTCGGGGGAAGGCGCGGTCTTTTCCGAGGCGAGCGACTTGGCCGCCTGGAATGCTAGTTCGGAAGTCGGGCGGGAAAAGTGTGATTTGGAGCCTGCGCTGTAAATGCGTGCCTTTACTCCAGTGTTTCTCAACCTTGACACTTTTAAGGCCTGTGGACTTTGGCTGTGGAATTCTGGGAGTTGAAGTCCACATGCCTTAAAAGTGTCACGGTTGAGAAACACTGCTTTACTCGATCCGAGTATTATTTATTCATTACGAGTGACCGCTGTTTTCTTAGCGGCGTGCCTTGACCTGGGGGCGGAAAGGGGACAACTTTGGTGCGGCCAACTCCCCACGGCAAACCCGCCGCGGGGCAACTTGCTGTGGGACAAATTCAACAATTCAGTTTAAATATTTAAAATAATTGAAAAAAATATTTGAATTTAATTACATTTTGTCATTCGTATTTCATTCTGTCCCTCCTTTTGCTTCCTTTTAATGATTTTATTTCACTATTTCTTTGATATTAGTGTAACCTGTCCTGCAGGAGTTGTCCAGCAGCGAGTTGTCCTAGACCAGTGGTTCTCAACCTTTTTAATGCCGCGACCCCAACCGGTCGTAAGTCGAGGACTAAACCGGTCGTAAGTCGAGGACTAAACTGGTTGTAAGTCGAGGACTACCCAACCGGTCGTAAGTCGAGGACTTTCCCTGCCCGGGAGCGCCGCGCATGCGTGGTTCCGCCCCCTGCGCCAGCCGAGGCCTAGCTGGCAAGCGGCAGAGATGGAGCAGGCCGACCACCAGCTGGCCCAGCCCAAGGGCCATGGCACCCGCCGGAAAAGGGGAAAAAAATGGCGGACAGCCTTGCTTGGCGACCCCCGTGAAATGGTCGATCGACCCCAAATGGGGTCCCGACCCACAGGTTGAGAACCACTGTCCTAGACCTAGACCAGGGGTAGGCAACCTTGGCTCTTTTATGACTCGTGGACTTCAACTCCCAGAATTCCTCAGCCAGCACAGCTGGCTGAGGAATTCTGGGAGTTGAAGTCCACGAGTCATAAAAGAGCCAAGGTTGCCTACCCCTGACCTAGACCCATCTGGGAGTGAGGTCAGTGAAGTCAGCAAACATATTGAGTCAATATTTAAAAATATATTTTTTAAAAAAGATTATTTTATCTTGCCTATTATTTTCTATTAGTAACTCAAGGCTGCAACCTAATATCCTTCCTCTCCTTCTATTTTCTCCACAACTACCACCCTGTGAGGTGAGTTAGGCTGAGAGCGAGTTGACTAGTCCAAAGTTGCCCAGCCGGCTTTTATGCTGAGGCAGGACTAGAATTCAGAGTCTCCTGATTTTTATTTGTATTTCTTCTAGGTAACCTATGTCCTTCCAGATGTTTGCCGAAGTATATGTGTGTGGAGGCAAGGCTGTGAGACTCAGTCAAGCCCACTCATAAAACAGAACTAGATGCTATTGCAATTATGTGGTCTTGGTTGCAAATGTTTTGAAGCCTTAATCGGTCAGCCATGGTGGTTGGGAGAAAAACCAAAGAAGCAAGCCTGGAAGAAAGGCAAGATACCAGCCTAACAAATGCAGTTAAGTGTTGCATAAAATATTGCCACCATATCTGGGCTGCAAATATCCAAATCATTTCAAGATGATAGGAAATACAGAAACTTTTTCTGCCATCTAGTGGTCACCTAGATTTTTAAAAGTCCAAACTAGACAGCCCACACCTGTTATTTTTTCCCCCAGTGAAGTTGTGTCCTCCTCCTCCACCTCAGCTGATCTGAGGAAGTGCCTGCCACTTTGCTGGGGGGGTGTGTGTGTGGCAGATGGGTGGAACAAAGAATGGTGAAACGTGAAGAAAACTGCACTCCTGTACCCCAAGGGCCTCCTTCCTCCAGGAAGAACCATCAGTGCCTCCCAATCAGCTCAAACTTGCCAGCAGACAACTGGTTTCTTCTCCAAACTAGCCACTGCTGTTGAAAGAGATTTCAAATTTCAGCCTCTATTCCAAAACAACCAATACCCACTTCCCTGTTGGGTCCAGCCACCAGCTGTTTGGCCACAGGGGCCAGAGGGAGGTGGGAAAGAGAGGGGATACACCTTTCCCATTTTCCTTTGCATCAAGCAACCTATGGGTTTCCGGGAAGTGTAGTCAGAAGATGTGGTGCTGAAGTGGCCACAATTTTAACAAATTTCAGTCCCACGGGAGCAACGGGTGCTGGATTTTGCATGCATTTTGTAAGTTAGCCCTTTTGATCCAAAACTTGCTCTATGATGCACTGCTTTGCCCAATTGAAGATTACAAATTATCAAACAGATATAAGAATTTTAGTCATATATGGATATATATAAAGTCTTAAACTGGACTAGGCTGGCAGGGAAGGTATCTAATTGTGATTACATAACTGCCAGGTGCTACAGGATTGCAAAGATTGCAATCATGTGACCATAGGGATTGTCAGAGCCCCTCAAATGTATTTTCCTTTAATCCTTCCCTTTTTCCCCTTTTTCGCTTTTGCTTATGTATTCTCGGGGCTTGCCATATTGTTGGGAGGGCACTTGCAGGGGGAATGTTATTTGCTTTGCTCTGCTCTGTACGAGATGCCTTCCCTGAAAACATCTGCCTTATCTCCAGACAATAGATCCTGGGACCGTTGGGAAATGAAACTGAGAGAGACCTTGAGATGGGTGCTAAGTCTCCAGCTTCTCATAACATGGTGGACCTGTGGATTGGCTGGATTTCAACCAGACGGTTGGACATGGGGGGAGGAGTTTTGAATTGCCTTTTTGATGTAATCCTTTCTGTGCCAAATCTTTAGACCTTGCTTTGCTCTCTTGCCATCACTATGCTGGCAACCAGAACTTCAAGACTAGTTGTAATCGCTACTCTTTCAGCACCATCATAATGTAGAGTGGTCACTGAATGAGGACTACCTGTATACAATTACAAACATGCCCAGTTGTTTGGTTATCAATTCTTAACAGGCAGCAAGGAATATCGCTCTGTTATGTTTTGCTCAAAAAATGTCACTGTAGTAGCATGGTTGAAAAAAAAATACATTTATTTGAGGAAATAAACTAGAAAATCTCAATATATTACTACAATATTTCTTTGTTACTGTTTGGAAGCCATCTAGAGTCTCTGTGAGTGAGTAGGCGGCTATATAAATGTTCTAAAATAAATAAACCAATTACTCAAAATAGGAAGCAACTACTAGAGCCACTATAACATAGGTCTCAGTTTCATATTGAGCTTGAACCCAAGTGTCTCTTGCGACATCCCACACCCATCTGCTGGCAATCTGAAGAAAAAAACAACAAAGTAGCAACAAATTAGCTAACATACATTTTAAAATTATAATTAATAATCACATAACAAATCTATTGCAACAATATATTATGATGAGACTGTTGGATTATTGTCTGTTCAGTTCAACAGAATTATCTATAAATTGCCAAAAGTTAGAGTTAAACTGCAACAGTTGAAATAATTTCTACAATGTCACTGCATAATATGTAACATGGTGACATGATGATTAATCGAACTTGATTTAATAAAAATTTTAAAAAGTTTAATTTAAGAGCAAACATTACATATGGAAGAAGATAACAGCCCTGCCCAGTTTACAATAATATCCCAGAATTCTGGGAGTTGAAGTCCACAAGTCATAAAAAGGCCAACTTTGAAGACCCCTGGGCAAAATGAATGCAAATTAAGAAAAAAAATCTGAAAGAAAATGCAATGCTATACAAATAAAAAATTCTATCTAAAATGTCTATAAGACATTGGAGAGGTACCAAACTAGTATTAGAATTAACCAGATTTTTTTTTTTAAAGTGTATCTTCATGAGCATAGCCTAAAATATAAAAGAAGACTTAAATTAAAACCCAGTCCTGTAATTAATCAAGAGATATAAAAAAAAATTATATTTAGCATTATACAGAAAGCAAAGTTAGAGCAAATTCCCTGTCTATCAAAAATGTTATTCATGGAAATGGGAATTATATATTGCAGACTGGCATGTAGGCGATCTTCACAATACTGATATACATGGTTATTTTGCAAAAATTAAAACATACAATTTAGAGTAATTTACCCCAACATTTAAATTTTAAAACTGATTCACATTTCCCTGAGTTTTTACTTCAAGAGGAAAAAAAAATCCAGAGGCCCATGTAATTCTGTTATAAAAATCGTGCAGAATCTTTAAAAGCATGGGGAAAATACCAATTTTATTTCTGAATAAAACTTTTATGTTCATGAGGTGAATTATTGTGAGTTAAGATCATACACATACCAAGGCATTAAGGCATTAAAAAAAGAATTCAGAGGAAAATGCAACCCATACAATATGTCTCAATTCTTTCCCTATTATATAGTTAATTAGTACATTTTTATTAAATCAAGTTTGATTAATTAGTTCCCACATCATGCATCTAATGAAGTGTACTATACTGTATTCATGAAAGTTTATGCTGATAATTTCTTGCTCCCCTACTTTATTAAATGATTTGAAAAAATATTCTGCCAAGTGAAAAATTTGTATATTTTTTCTTATTTACTGATCTATTTATGATTCAGTTGAGTCTTAGTATAGTACATGTATTTGATTATATAATTAAAAATATTGCTATTTAATTATGTAAGTGGGGTAGAAATACATGTTTATAAATCCTACATACCTGTACCTACATACTTGTAACAATCAACCCAGCTCCTTGATACTTGAATATACAATTTAATTATATAAGGGGACTGCCTCAACTCAGGTCCAGCAAAAAAGGCTTGTTGCAGGTTCCATTCACCAGAGAAAGTCATCTGGAGTGACCCAGAAGAAGGGCGTTTTCTGCTGTTGCACCTGTTGCCATCTACACACACCTCAAAATCAGGTTGGCCCCAACCTTGCTGGCCTTCCAGAAAGAACTAGCTTTACCATCTGGCTTGGGGATCAGAGGGGGTTATCAATCCTATAAAAAGGCTGCGCTGTTCTTGAATGGTGTGCTGGTGATTCTATTGTATAGCTTTTTTTTATGGGTGCCCGACCTACATCGGACACTGAGTCTCCACTCCAGACCCCCACGGAGAAACTCCGCCGGGAGGAATGGAGATCCATACCAGAGAAGCCCCTATGGGGAATCTCTGGCACCTTGTAGACCGGCCACCCCTTTCGACGATGGAAACCACGGAATGGGCACAGGAGGATTCCATCCCTCCTGCAACACTATATACTGGATCCCCAGCAAAGCTTTGGCAGTAGCCATATTATCTCTGAGATATGGTTCTTCCTTGTCACCACTCAGGATCAATTCCACTTGCTGTGAATGTTTTTGTACAAGGGCACCTTCTGCAGTTCATATGTTTGGTTTGGTAATGTTCATAGATTCATAGGCTTGGTAATGAATGCAGCTTACATGTGTATGAGGTAGGAGGGAACTTTTTACCACCACATCCATAACATGCCTTTTCTGTCACACCTGATGGAACACCAAAAAGTAACCAGTAAAGTTGCAACAACTTTAGTCATTTTAACTGATATAAATAAAGTGCTTTATTTCAACAAGTAAACCACAGTAGAACTGGATGGTGATAATATTATGTGCAAAGCCATTTATTACATCTTACTAACTTCAACCAGAGCTAATTTTCTACAGATGAATTTGAACCCAATGAAAAAAAAAGTTTCAGCTATGATGGCCATTACTTACATGCTTTGCTTGCATTTTTCTATATGCATCTGACTGACTGTTCTTGAAAATGCTAGATTATAAGGCTTTGTGTAGAATTTAGCAAGGTAGTTCATTCCACTTTAGTAATCTGATAGGATTCCATTTGAAAAGCAATATTCTGCATAACTGCAACAGGCAAATGTGGGCATTTTTCAGAGAACAGAATAGGGTAGTTTATATACTTACATGTATTGACTGACCAGTCTTTTCCACAAGAAATACCTGAACTATATACTTGTAACGATCAAATCCCAGTTCCTTGACACCTGCTAATACATCTTCTGAGATAGCTGTACAAGTAGGGGCACCATTGATTCCAATATATTTGAAATCTTGAAGTTTCTGCTATTAAGGATCAAACAAAATTGCCAATAATTATATTAAATATGCTTGTCTATAAATAGTCCATAAAGTACTCATTTAACATTTAAACTATTCTGTTTGATACATCCTGTAGGTATATTGTTTTCCAGTAAATATAGTATTCAATAGTTTATGGCATTCAATAGGATTTGTAACTAATCTAACCTATATAATAGGACTGTACTCAGTTTGAAGGTTTGCTTCATGGAACTTCAGTTTTAAATAAGCTATGCACTATCCCACTGTTTTTAGGGGGGGAAATGTCAAACTGCTGTATTTTGGTAGAGCACTATTGCAACATTAAAAATAAGCCCATTTTAGGAACCATTTTATTTGAAAAGTTAAATATAATTTCATAGGATTTTAGAATATATTTGTGCTTATTATTTTTTGAGTTTCAGACCACTTTAATTTTAGAGATTATATTCCCCCAAGAAATTCTGGGAACTAATTTGTGAGAAATGTTCAGAATTCAATTGTAATATCTCTTGTTTGTCCATAGAGGTAGAACCATAGAGGTTGTCCATACTGTAGGACATTACCAAAAGTTAGCAGTTAAATTATGTCAGGTGGTGGATCTTAGTGAAGGATGGCCCTGCCCCTTCCAAAAGCCCAACGCTGAAGTCCAATACTTTTCACTTCTTGTTTCTTCTTACACAAAAAAGTTCAGCACAAAGAGAGAACTAATGTTCCTTGCATGGACAAAAATAATTTGCCCAGGACAAAGTAGGATGTTAACATTTCCCAACTCACCCTGCAAGGAATGTTTCAGTCAGTCATTTTTCTTCTGGAAAACACTAAAGGCAGCCAGGAAAAAGTATCCCTTACAGGCTATTGGTGGCCAAAGCAAAAGTGACCAACTTGGGCACTTGCAAATGCACTCATGGGAATTTCAGTAAATTTAATTAAAATTAATTATATACACATGGACACACACACACGGACACTTCTCCAATACTGCTGATATTTCTATTAGTATATGATGACATGGAGCGTAGTGGCTCATGTGGTTAGGATGCTGGTTTGAAGGTTAGGATGCTGGGCTGAAGTTTAACAAGCCTGCATTCGAGGCCTGAGTGCTGCGGCGTGGCTGGGTGAGCTGCCATCATTCGCTCTAGCTCCTCAACGGGAACAGGAAAGGAGACCCCACGGGCATCCCCTAGGCAACAGTGATATCAGTGGCTAATCTTTTCAACCCAGAAGCGCCTTAAAAGGGGCTTCCGACACAAACGGGCCTGGAGTGTATGAATAGGCTCCATTTACAGGTAGTCCTCAACTTACAATATTTCATTTAGTGACCAAAGTTACAATATTGAAAAAACTGACGTGACTATTTTTCACACTTATGACTGTTGCAGCATCCCCGTGGTCACATGATCAAAATTCAGATGCTTGGCAACTGGTTCATATGATGGTTGTAGTGTCCTAGGATCACGTGATCAGCTTTTGTGACCTTCTGACAAGCAAAGTCAATGGGGAAGCCAGATTCACTTAAGTTACTAACTTAACAAATGCAATCATTCACTTAACAGTTGTGGCAAGAAAAGACATAAAATAGTGCAAAACTCACTTAACAAATGTTTCACTTAGCAACATAAATTTTGGGCTCAATTGTGGTGATAACTCAAGTACTACCTGTACCTTAATAAGTTATTTGCTATAAACTACATTTTAAATAAGCTATGATGTTGATAGGAGATATAATAAAAAGCATTAAGTAATAGAACTTATGGTTTGGAGCCTAATTCTTATTAGAAAATACTCTACCTTTAGAATATCTTCAGCTCTCTTCCTTACTATGTGAGCCTCACATTTTCTATAAGGTTCCATTCTGTAAGTGTTAGCATATTTCGGTCTTGCAAAGCTAGTCTTGAATACAAAGAGCTCGTTTTTTGTAAAATCTGTGATGGATTCATCATCTGGGTCCATACCTGATATGTCATAGCTTGAAGCTCTGTGTTTTCCTGACTGTAAAGGCTAAACCCCCCAATACATAAAGACAACTTTATTTCACTCACAAAATTAAAATGATAAAATTTAAACATAGTAAGGGAGAATTAGATTTTTTTCCAGCATGCCCCACTTTTTTCATATACAATTCAAAATGGTTAAAACACCAAAATTCCCCACAACAATCCTATGAGGTTGGTTGGACTAAGAGAGTGACTGGCTCAAAGTCACCTAGCCAGTTTTTCAAGGCAGGACTAAAACTCACAGTATCCTGGTTTGTAAGCCAGCATTACTATACCAAAGTGGCTCTTTAATTGAATGTAATGGAATGTTCTAATTTGCAGCCACATAAATTAGTTCTGCAGTGTATATATTCCATTTTGAGGGATTCATTATAACATAGAACAGTATACTTGACCAAAGACTCAGATAGGGTTGCTAATGATTCTCCAAGGGAAAGTCAAATACGAGTTTCTATTATGTTATTCATGCATAGGGTACTTGAAGAATTTGTGAAACAAAAACATTCCAATTTGAATTTTGATAGCATAATAGGTAAGAGTAGCAAACATAATACACATACAGAGAAGCTAGAATGACATACATTTAAGTTACTACAAGCAAAAAATGTACAACATTATGGAAGCACAAGCAATAGAACACAGTCAAACTAGAGTCTTGGACTTCAAGAGAGCTAATTTCAATAAACTTAGAGAGGATTTGGGAAGGATTCCATGGATGAGAATCCTCAAGGGAAAAACAACTCAAGAAGCTTGGGAAATTTTGAAAAATGAGATAATAAAAGCCCAGTCTAGCACAATACCAACAAAGAGGGAAAATAACAGCTCTCAAAAGAAACCAGCATGGCTGCATAAAGAACTCTCTTGACAAATTGAAAGATAAAAAGGACAACTATAGAAAGTGGAAAGAGGGACACATAAGTCAGAATATCAGCAAATAGCCCGAGCCTCCAAAGATCAAGTGAGGAAAGCCAAGGCTCAAAATGAACTAAGGCTTTCGACCAAAGTCAAAAATAATAAAAAAAAGCTTCTTTCAACATGTAAAAAACAAGAAAAAAGTGAAGGAAATGATTGGTCCACTAGTGGGTGAAAGTGGCAAGAAGGTGACAAGCAACAGGGAGAAAGCAGAACTATTTAACTTATTTTTTGCATCTGTCTTTACACAAAGGGAAAAAACAGACCAACCTATCAAAAATAGTGCCATAAAAAACAGAATAGAAACACAAGTTAAGATAGGCAAGAAAATGGTAAGTGAGCACCTGTCCAGCCTAGACGAGTTCAAATTGCCAGGACCAGATAGATTACACCCCAAGGTTCTCAAGGAACTGGCAGATGTGATCTCAGAACCACTGAACTATATTTTTCAAAGATCCTGGAGCACAGGGGAATTACCAGAGGACTGGAAAAGAGCTGATGTAGTTCCCATCTTCAAAAAAGGAAAAAAAGATGGATCCAGGAAATTACAGACCTATCAGCCTGACCTCAATACCGGGGAAGATCCTGGAAAAGATAATCAAACAACGAATCAGCAAACACCTAGAGACAAACAAAGTCATTACTAAAAGCCAACATGGGTTTGTCAAAAATAGATCATGCCAGACAAACCTTATTGCATTCTTTGACCAAGTGACAAAATTAGTGGATCAGAGGAATGCTATGGACATAATTTACTTGGACTTCAGTAAGGCATTTGATAAAGTAGATCACAACCTACTACTTGACAAGATAGAAAAATGTGGGGTAGACAGCACCACCAGCAGATGGATCCGTAGCTGGCTGACCGGCCGCACTCAGCGAATGGTCCTCAATGGAACCGCATCTACATGGAGGGAAGTGTGTAGTGGGGTGCCCCAGGGCTCTGTTCTGGGCCCAGTGCTATTCAACATCTTCATCAACGATTTGGACGAGGGGATAGATGGGGAACTCATCAAATTTGCAGACGACACCAAACTGGCAGGAATAGCCAACACTCCAGAAGACAGGCTTAAGATACAGAAGGATCTGGACAGACTTGAACACTGGGCGCTATCTAACAAAATGAAATTTAATGGTGAAAAAAGCAAGGTTCTACATTTAGGCAAGAAAAACAAAATGCACAGCTATAGTATAGGGGGTACCTTGCTCAATAGTAGTAACTGTGAGAGGGACCTCGGAGTCCTAGTGGACAATCATTTAAACATGAGAAAGCAGTGTGCTGCAGCTGCCCAAAAGGCCAATATAGTGCTAGGCTGCATTAACAGAGGGATAGAATCAAGATCACGTGAAGTGTTAATATCACTTTACAATGCCTTGGTAAGGCCACACTTGGAATACTGCATCCAGTTTTGGTCATCACAATGTAAAAAAGAAGTTGAGACTCTAGAAAGAGTACAGAGAAGAGCAACAAAGATGATTAGGGGACTGGAGGCTAAAGCATATAAGGAAAGGCTGCTGGAATTGGGTATGTCTAGTTTAATGAAGAGAAGGACGAGGGGGGATATGATAGCAGTGTTCCAATATCTCAGGGGCTGCCACAAAGAAGAGGGAGTCAAGCTATTCTCCAAAGTGCCTGAGGCAGGACAAGAAGCAACGGGTGGAAACTAAGCAAGGAGAGAAGCAACCTAGAACTAAGGAGAAACTTCCTGACAATTAGAACAATTAACCAATGGAACAACCTGCCTCCAGAAGCGGTGAATGCTCCAACACTGGAGGTTTTTAAGAAGAGACTGGACAGCCATTTGTCCGAAATGGTATAGGGTTTCCTGCCTGAGCAGGGGGTTGGACTAGATGACCTCCAAGGTCCCTTCCAACTTTTATTATTATTATTATTACTTTACAGTACATAAACATAATATAGTAGAAACCAAAATTAACCCTTCTGAACAGGGTCGCCTTGGTTCTGCAACATGCTTGACATAGACCAGTATTTCTCAAACTTGGCAACTTTAAGAGATATGGACTTCAATTCCTAGACTAGAGCATGCTGGCTAAGGGAATTCTGAGTGTCCACACGTCTTAAAGCTGCCAGGATTGAGAAAAACTGGCAAGACAACTTTACTATTGTTAACAGCAAGCGCTCTTCGTGTACCTTAACACAACTTTGGGCCGAGCCCACATCTACACAGCTTTTTAACCGAGCAAAAGAGGCAGCTCCGGCTTTCCAAAACGCACGATCCCACCAAAACAGGTGCAACAAGCTCTCCCTACCACCCCGCAGCCGATCGCGTGACCCCGCCCACTCAGTGGGAAGCCTCAAACCTGAGGCCCGCCCCAATGTTGCTCCGCGCACGCGCAGGTAGAGCCGGGCCGCCTAGTCTTACACGACCGACCTGATCTTTGTCTGTAGTGCTGTGTTTTTTTCCCCATGCCTGTGCAGCGTGGGAAGGAGTGACGCCCAGCTTTTTTTTGGCTTTATCCATTGGGACTCCTCACTTTAGGCTGCCTGGAGCGGACGGTGATTTACCGGCGCAGCAACCGTCCACACGGACCCGTTAGGAGCAGCCTTTCAGAGGCTCGAGGCTGGTCTCTATCCGTGACGTCAGTAAGCACGAGCTAAGCAACCCAAGAACCAGAACCGAACAGAGGTACTTGCCGCGGATCAGACTTCCCATAATCTGGTTGCTGTTCTACTTAAGAGGAGGCGGAGGATTCTGGGAATTGTAGTTCAATTATTGGGGCGCGACGCTAGGAGCGAGAGCGCCTCATATCGGTTCAAGTCGAGTTTTTTTTGTTGTTGTTGCCTAGCTTGCTATTTCCTTCTTTTGCTAAACGCCAAGTTAAACAGTTTAAGGCAGGGTTCCTAAACCTTGTATCATGATATCTTCCTTCATTGTAATCTTAATGTACACACCTCCTTTAAAAATACAAACACCAAAATGAACACAGGAGAACAAGGAGAATAATACAGTGAAACTGCAGGAAAGGTGGATTTATTAAAAATGTAATTAAGAGGTTGCTTAGAGATCCTCTGGACTCAGCTCCGCCCCAAGGGAGGCACACCTCACCGTTTGACAAACCTGGTTTAGGGGATTAGTGTTGGGAAAGGGAGAAATGGTGAGTTTATCTTCTTTGCAATTTATTTGCTGCTCTTTAAGCTTCAGTCCTAAAGAGAGAAAAGGAACAAAAGTCATAATTGTAATGGAAACTAAATATTATTTCACAGCAGCGGTAGAAAGTTCTAATTTTGCTGGCCACACTTGTAAATTGTGACTTTTCACAAGTTACAGGTAAGTCCTTGACTGTACAGCCTTTTGTTTAGTGATTGTTCCAAGTTACAACGGCACTGAAAAAAGAAATTATGAGTGGTTCTCATACATATGACTTATGACTCATACTCATGCAGCATCCCGTGATCATGTGATCAAAATTCGGATCCTTGGCAATTAGCATGGATTTCTGACGGTTGCAGTGTCCTGAGGTCATCACCTTTGGTGACCTTCTGTCAAGAAAGTACCAATTTAACAACTACAATGATTCACTTAGCAACTGTGGCAAGAAAAGTCACAAAAAGGGACAAAACTGACCTTTAACAATTGTCTTGCTTAGCAACGGAAACGTTGGGCTCAGTTGTGGTTGTAAGTGGAGGACTACCTGTATATGCTTTCACCCTGTCAGCTAGATAGAAATGCATCTTAAACTCAGAGGTTCTGTGACTGCCTGGCATAATTAGTATTAATGTTGAACTGTTTGCTTAATTGTGACCTTTATTTTGTTATACTGTATTTGTTCTGGGATTACAAAATAGTTGCATTGTGGATTGATGCTTTTTTTTTAAAAAAAGATTCTGATTACCAGTCTGACCCTTAAAGCTATCATTGACCACTAAAAGGCAGAAATAACAGTTTTTTGTTTCTCCTACTCAGAAGCCATCTTTCCCTAATGTGAATGGGGGAAAAATTCTTCTGTTTATCCAGAGGAATTAAAAGCATCATCCACAGCCAACGAGGAATGCATTTATGCAATTCTGTCACAGTTTCATTAAAAGTGATGGCTGTTTTATTCCAAATTTATTTATTAGAACCATGTTGGTTCTAATATGTTGGGACCCATAATTGGTGAAATGAGATGGGCAAAGATGACCTGTGGCTTTCCTGGTTGAACTGAAGGGTTCCCCAGAGACTCTGGTTAAGCCTTCCTTCAGTTGTGGAAGCGTTCCAGATCCAGATGATCGATATATGGCCATGAAGTGTTGAGATTTTCAGTATTTTTTCAACCCATGATTATTATCAACTACTACATTTTTAGACATCCTCTGAAATATAGAGAAAAGATTTCTGGTTGTAAACTCAGTTATATACTTCCCGGATAATAACATTTGACTCAATGACACAATAGGAAGGCATTTTCTTAGACCCAGCACATCTCTCATCTGATACTGAAGTTTATTTACACTAAAGGATTGTCAAACAATTTTATTCAATCCTATTTGTAGAATGTGGGCACAACAACAGAGTGTGAAAAAAGTAGTTCATTGCAGGATTGTTTTCAAGATACTTTCAGTTCCTGAAGTATGAGGATAAATGGCCCACTACTTTGACAGAGTGCTTTTTAAAATATTTTAAATGATAATAAAAAACATAAGCAGGAATTATCTACGATATCTTTGGGCTGAGAAGTAGGGAGGAAAAATGCTGTTGCAGTGTTTAACCAAACACCCATGATTTTTCTCTTTACTCTGGATTACTGTATATTAACTTTCATCCTACAGGGAAAAGGTCAAAAATATCACTACATCAAATCTCCAGGTAATATAGTTGGAATTTTATTTTCATTTTTGCCATCAATACAAAATATTTGTAAAATGTGTAAAAGTAATTCTGAGAGTAATAATTGTGTTCACAAAACAAAATAATTGCCTGCAATGATTCCCTTATTTTGTATCACCGTTTGCCTTTTTATTTCATTTCAGATGCTCTTAGCTGAGCCACCATCTACCTGCCTTTCCTCTACAGTGTACTATATGGTTTGTGAAGCTGGATTTGAGAGGAAATCAAGCTATGCTCTCAGTAGTATTATATGCAGCACCGGTGAAATAAATTGGGAATTCATCACAGAACATGTACAATATGGAGAGCAAGGTCTCTGTTGTTTTTAAATGTAGTGTATTGTTATACTTGGGACAGTAAGACATTGTTTCTGAATTAGCATATGCAATGGAGATCTTTTACTTGTTTGGGGGGATCTTTTTATTAAAAATAATAGAATTAGAATTTCTAATGTTAGTTATTTAGCTTCAATGGCTAAATGGTCATTATTTAAGATTTTCTACAGAAAAAGAAAATTCCTTAATGAGTTTAGGGGAACCCTTTCAGGAGAAAATATTTTTGAATCTTTTTATATTTAGCAGTGTTTGACAGTATTCTTGAACTGATTGGTTATTTTTGTTTTTTAGACCCAACATTGGATTATATCAAAAGTGTGAGATCTCTTGGTCCTTTATGTGAATCTATTCACTTGCATTTGAAATCACTTACAGCAGAGCAATTTGAAAACCAGTTTGTGGTGTGGCTTCAGTGGACAAACTGCCCAGAGGTAGGAAAACATTGGATTGGATTGGATACTTGTTCCAAATTTATGGATGGATGGATGGATACATACACATATGATATACATATACACACATTTTTAGCATATGGCATATCATGCATGAACTTGCAATATATATTAATATTTTGCCTGGATTAAAAAACACAATAAAATATTAATATTAAAAAGAGCCATATTCACACATACTAAAATAGGAAATCACTGTATATGATTCTTCGTTAAGGAATATAAATAAATAAAGGAATGTGGGAGTTATAAGTATCACAATGGGAAATAAAAGAACAGAAAGCAAGGATAATCAATTACTTGGTGTGAATATTTAGAAATCTGTAGCTAGTTGCAAATACATTTTGGTAGAAGAAATTAGCTTTTTTGAATACAACAGCACAGAGTTCTCCAAACAGGCAATGTTCCCTCAAAAATGTGTTTTGTCTTCTAAAATCCTAGTGAGGCTAGGATATCTGTTCTGATAATGTATAGTTCTGTGGTTTTCCACAGAAGAATTGTGCTCTGGTGCAGAGAGTCTTACCCCAGATTTAGAGCTGTGATAAAATTGACCATCCAAATGGAAATCAATTAGAAAAAAAAGAAGGGCTAGCAAAATATGCAGGCCTTCTCTCCCATGTATACAAAGTAAATCTAGAATAATTTATTTTGCGGCTATTTCATGGATTGTATAAGTTAGCCAACAAGGATTTGATGGATGATTGTATTTCTTTTGATAACTTTTTTGGTCATTTCTAGTTCTGTGGAAGAAACATATAAATGCTAAATTGTCTTCTTTAACATTAGTATTTCCAAAAAGAAGTTCAACATTTTAAATTTGTAATTTTGTGATTTTCAAATATAAGTAACTGTTAATGAAAAGTAAAAATATTCTTTTTAATCTGTCAATCAATGATTTTTTTTAAAAAACTTAATTGTTCAGTGGTGTGTGCAATCTTATTAAGCTCTATTTCTTCCTAATATAAATGCACTGATAAAAATAACATGGTTACACTTAATTCTTCTATCTTGTATAAACTACAGATATTTCTTGAAATGTTTGATACCGTAAGGAATCCACATGATGCATCAGTTGCACTCAGTTTAATGAAGCTTACATCAAGTTTGGAACGAGCCTTGGGTGATGTAAGTGCTGAAATCTGGAATCTGTCAGACTTGAGGTCAATAAGATCCTTTTTAAGAAATCAGTGTTTCACTTCCTTGTTTACTAATTAAAAGGTCACAGATTCAGTATAATTACCAATTGGTTTCTCTGTCTAAGCACTGAGAGTGTTTGGCTTTATACATGTTTGCTGATAGAATGGACTTGAGAACAAGGCCGACTACTTGCTTTAGAGAATTTTCTCACTCTATCTAGAACTTGAAACCTCTCTTGGAGTCATAAATCTTGCAATATTTTGATCCAAAGCACTGCATTCTGTATGACTAATGCAACATTCATCCATACGGTAAATACTCCTACAATACATTTATGAAAAACTGAGCAAAGTCAGATGGGTTTAGATACTTAGTTCAAAGACATATTTATTTCATAACCTATGCGCTAATTTCAATGGGGCTTATCCCATGCTAGGTGTGTCTTACATTACAGTGCAAATACATTACAGTGTCTCACTCTGGAAGCTTTTGGCCAAGAAGCAGAAAAGGATCAATCTTTTAATTATACCTCATTACTGGGTTTCTAAAAGCTAGCATTTTTGTATTTGTCAAAAAAAAAATTGTGGCAGTTTTTAGCTGGAGCATTTTTAACATCAATAATACAGTGAAGAATGTGTTTTAGTTTTCTGGTGTATGATAAACCCAGTGTCCTGTAATAAGAACTGAATGAGTTTTCTGCAGTCCTTCAGTTCATGTGCATTTGGAAGTAAAGACAGCAAGACAGTC